GCCTTCACTTTTGCCTTACATAAGATGCTTGGTATACCCTGTAGCGAAAATATTAAAGGGTATATTAAGCATGTGAAAAGAGCTTAAGCTTCGAATGGGAGTAAGCTATATAAAACATCTATATATATGTTAATATGTAATATATCATTTTTGTTTCTCTTTTAATCGATAATAATCGATTCGCGTGCAGCACAAGAGCTGAATATGTTATATTTCGTTTGTAGACAAAAGTTCTATAGAACGTTAAAATATCAGTGAGATATTAAACCATTCTATTGGGTATATTATAGTGTGGCAGACCCGCGTTATTCAATTACATTTATTTACTTGCGCTTTGGTAGCATCTTTTTGGCTGCTATCGCTTTACGGCTTGCGGTTGCAGCTCCTGTGGATGAAACAGCTGCGCTTCGAGTCGAGTCTAGCCGCAAGTGTTGGGTAAATGTATCTGCGGGCGAGTATCTGAGTATCTGAGTATCTGAGTATCTTTATATCTGCATATCTGTATATCTGAGTATCTTGCTAGCTTTGTGTATTTGCGTCTTGTGCCATATGTGGCAACTCGCGGCTGACATCTATTGTGGCCCGCTTGACTTTTGTGCATTACGTAAGCGCAGCGACTCTCGCTCAATGTACCAGCCTCTTCTGAATGATTGGAAGTTGTGACTACAACTACTGTGAATGTGAAGTGTGTGTGTTGTCTTTATGTAGTTTTCGAATTGGGACTGAAGTGCAGCGCTCCGTTTGACACTTGCAGCTGTCAACGCGGCACTGATTGATCGATTGCAACGTGTGTCTGCCTGCGTGTGTCTGTGTGTGGGTGCAGAAGGGTGAAGCGCAATGATTAACTGGGCCAAAACAAACAGTGTGAATGCTTCAAAATGTGAGGTTAATGATTTGAACAGTTTGCATTGGAGACAGCTGACAAAACATACAAAAGTTCAATCAGATACGTCAGGTGCTTCATGAGAAGAAAAGAAATAAGTTCCAGAGAGTAGATAAAGTGCATTAACAATTTTTAATGTACAAATTTATGAATATGTTATAACTATAAGGCATTTAGAAGGTAAAAGCATCAAGCTACTGCCAAAAGTTATAGACTTCATAATAAATATGCCGAAGTTCCTTTCCTTTTTGTAACATTTTAAATATGATCATGAAACATAGTCCCATTGGATTGATAGTTGGATTGAAAGGGTTAATGTCTGCCGAAGAATGGAAGGACAACACTCAAATTATCTTTGATGACTTTTGGAATATGTGGTCCAGCCTTTGTCATGCCTTTGGCATACTGTCAAAATTTGAATTATAAATAATTTCTTTGAGAATGGCAAATATAACACTTTCACAGACCCCGCCGGATATACAGTATTAATTTTGCAGTTCACTAATATTCGAAACATAAGCTAAGTTGTATAAGAGAGGATGTAAACCACATTAAAATGAAGTATAGTCCATTCCATATACCATTCCAATTGAACTTTAATGAGAACAGTTTCAATTTTGATCTTGGCGATCTATATACAGTACTTAAAAACATTACGTGATTCTCAAGTCTATGCTTTTACACTCTTCAATAATGACTATCTAATTTATTAATGCTATTTAGCTTCAAATTACATTCAAAATGAGAATTATATTACACGTAAGACACAAAACATATCTAATATTTATATGTTTATCGCAACATTTCTCATACATATGAATAAAATTTGAAAATTAAATTCCAGCAAAGACATTTACTTTTTAATAAGTATATTAAATACATATATATATTAAATATATATATATATATTAAATATATATAAATTTCACTTAGCTTTTCGTTTTTAGAGCTGACTTTAATTGAAATTGTTTTATTCACAAAGCATTTGATCTCTCTGCTATCTTCGCTTTTAACTATAATAAGCTGCACTTGGAACGTGTTAGTCTTCAGTCAGGTCAAGTTGGAATGCTCGCTATATTTAGAATGATTGATGAGAATTAAGCAAGAGCTACTTTTCAACTATTTATATAAAAATTCAATATAAAAAGTTTTCCGCACTTAGCTGCTTTTCAAGTATATATTAAGCCCATTACATAATTTCTTTTGATAAAGCAACATAATAATAAGTTCTTATTTATAGCTTTAAAGAATAATTTCAATAATTAAACACATTTTTACTGCCCAAATGCATTTCTACTTTATTTAATTAGCGTTTTCGAAAGTAGTTTTTATCCAAGAAATGTTTTCTGGTTCTTGATTTCGCTCAGTGCAGCAGTTAAACGTGCAGCCGACAGCATTTATCTATCACTTGTGTGCTGGCAACTTGTTAGCCAACTGCAAGAGCCTGCCCCAAGTTGGTCCCTCTGTCTCCGCCCCTCTACAGCTTTTGACCCATTCAGAAAAACTTTCTTTGGAAGCAACGCTCGCCTCACGAAATTAATTTAAATTTATTGTCTCAATTTATAATGCTGCAAATTGAGCGTTTGCCAAAAATAAACGTTGACAGCATTCATTCGGATAGTTCAATGTCTCTCTCAGATGAGCGCACGCCACCTGCCACGCCTCTTTATTGCGCCCTTCTTCAAATTGAACTTGAACTTGGTTTGGCTTTGACTTCGGCATCGGCAAAAGTCAAAGTTTCCGTCCGTTTCGCAATTGTATCTATGCGAATAGTTATTATAAAGTTTGTCGTCATCTAAGTCTGAGCTGGAGCTAGTTTTTCTCCTTTTTTGCTCAGTGGGCAGTGGGCCCTGGACACAAAGTTCGCAAAGGCAGTCGAACAAATTGAGTGCACACAGTCGGGCAGACGTTTGTCATTTGTCTGCTGTCATGTCAGTTGTCAGTTTGATTTTTTGACTTTGTTCTTATTGTTTTTGCGCTGTTGTTGTTGTTGCTTTTTATGGTTATTTTAAATTGTAACAACTGCTATGACGACGTCCACGACGACAGCAGGCCACAACAACAACAACGACGACGGGGGGAAATAAAAAATAAAAAATAAATAATATATATATAAAATAAAATGCCAAAAGACAAACAAAAGACAAATGTGCGCTCTGCGAGAGCGTGTTGACAATTTTTTATAGATTTTTCTATGCTCTACAAGTGCAATTTGTGAACGGGGTATATGAGTTTTATGATAGCGCAGGAAGGCTAGTGTAACTCGGCAACTGTAGAATCTGAATATATCAAAACTTAGTTTAATAATCAATTTATTTTATATATTTTTTATAGTATTTATTTTTATAATATTCTGATTAAATTAAAATTTCAAGAATTCTAATTCCTTTAATTGAATTGTTAACGGGGTATATTAGGCTAAAGTAAGAAAAGCGACCATAAAAAAATACATAAGCTACACCCATAATATATGTTAGCAAAAGCTGAAGTCGTATTCAAAATATAGTAATAATAATTCAGTAGGATAAACTTCAACGAGCTCATAAGAAAAACTATCGAAGTATTTGTATTGATTAATCAGTTCATAAAATATGTTATATATTATAATATAATTTGATAAATCTTATGAAATGGTTATACAATAATTGCAAAGATATTTTTTAATATAATATATAATAATATAGTGAATATAATATAATATATATTAGTGAAATAAAACTAATTACAAAATATTGATTTTTATAAATTTTAAATATTTAAAAAGTTATTTTTACAACAAGAACAACAAGAATCTTACTATAACTTATGAATTGCAGATTCGTTAGAATATTACGCTATATGAAGATCAAACAGTTCTAAAGAAAAGTATCTCAACGAGAAATGAAGATTTTTGTAAAAGAGGGACGACTAGATACATATATATATATAGAGTAATTGTATTTTTGTTTTATCAGGACATGAAGTGAATGGCTCTGCACTTTTAGCTTACATTATTATAAAATTGTTATGTTTATAAAATAAAATACTGACATGATAGGACCATACTGATTTCAGACTCTCATTGGAAGACCTACATAAAAGACTATGCTGATTTGGGAAGTCATAGTTGTAGTGCTGTTCAAGAGAGAGGAGAACAAAAGTATAAGAGTCTCTGCATATATTATTTGTAAGCCGTTTAAGCCAACTCTTTATGGCATATCTATTCTGTAGAGTATCTTGGAGCGCATTACTTTCCGCTACTTTTGATTGGTTTCGTATATTTTCGGTTTGACACACGAGCTGTGCCATAGATTTTTACAGTCGTTGACGTCTGAGCACTTTATCTTAATGTCAATTTTTTCCGTTCTCTCCTTGACTTCTGCTTGGGTTCGGGGTTTCGGGGTTCCGGGCTCTAGATGGCGGACTCCGAATTGGGCGGTCCGTTTGCTGCGTGTTGTGCGTGAAGCAGTTAAAACGACGTTCAAGCAAATTAACAATAAAATAACCATTTGTAAGTCAAGTTCGGGCCACGTTTAGAGCTGTCAAAAAATCACGACATCGTCGCGTTAATGGCGCTTAGAGCTGAGCTGCGAGATAAACAGTCGCTAGGATTTCCATTTACATATATATTAGGCGGGCTTAAGGCACTGTGACTCATCAACTTGCAGCTCGGATTAAATGCACTGCACCAAAAAGTCATGCAATTGAGTGTATGGAAAAGCATCACTATACGGGAAAATTTTTTAATAGTTTAATTGCTCAATAGAATAACAAGGTTATTGGTCAAAAAGTTGAGTCTATAATATTGATTATATATATTGGTTGATTTTATTAGAGAGACTTTTAAATTTAAATCCAAAAATTGCTGGCCTACAAGTTTTCTATCTAATTCTCATAACTGTAAACGTGCAGAAAAGTATTTAGAGGAAGACACTGGACATAAGCACATTTATGTTTATATATTTTGTTGTTTTTTTTTGCTATACATTCTTAGCTATTTTACTTAAGTCAGATTTGTTTACTTCTGTTGTGACTCGCCCTAAAATTTCTTGCTGTGCATTTGTCGCTTGCGCTTAAGCTTTAAATGCAGCCACTCAAGGCGCTTTTGAACTCATTTGTGTTTGGTCTTTGCTTGCAGTACGACAACGTCAATTCGTGCCTGCACGTGCTGCGGAGTCAATCGGTGGGCGGCTTGGACAATATCACGACCAACGACATCTGCGCGGGTCGCCTTAAGGCTGTCCTTGCTCTGTTCTTTGCCCTGAGCCGGTACAAGCAGCAGGCGAAGCAAACGAAGTCCATTGGCGTTGGCTGTGGTGGCGCTGCTAGTGGTGCAGCGGGTACAATTGGTGGTTCCGTTTTGGGCATTGGCCTGGGCGGTAGTCTAAGAGCATCGACTGCCAACAATTTGCTGGACAGGAACCAGCAACAGGAGCAACAGCAGCCACAACATAAGCAACAGCAAACGCCACAGCAGTTAGCTCAATCGCTGGAGAACGGCAATGAGATGGTGAATCGGTAAGTGAAGCAAATAAATATTAATAATATTATATATATAAATACATAAATATGGTTTATTTTTTTATAAATTGAAAATTTAAATTGTTAGAACGAGCTGTAGCAGCGTGTAACATAGCAGTCAATCTTTGTCTGGCTGCTATTGCATCGTCGCTATGCCATGGTTGTTGTCTAAGCTAAATAAGCAAAGCAACTTGACGAAACATTTAGTGCTGTTGGTTGGTGTTCCGACTAACAACTGAACGAAAATTACTCCACCTGTTAAATTATACTTTTAGCAGGGACGTTAAGTGCGTGATATGTTATTAGTTTTGCTAAACTGATGTAAGCTTTTCAGTTACTTGGAGTTACTTTTAAAGTTAATTTCTGTATTATACTTGATATGTACAATTAATTACAAAACTTTAGGAAAAACCGTGATCATAAAAACATCGAATAGGTTCAAATTTGACAATGTTATGTTCCTTCTTACTGAAGCACTACGGATTTGGGAAGCTTAAAATATGATTTTATGGGAGCTTAACATATGTTAGACAGAACATATGTTAAGCTAGAACATATGTTAAGCTCTGTGAAGCTTAACATTTGTTACAGTCTTCATGGCTCTGTTAGTATTACATATGCTAGACTAGACTATTATTTAAAAAGTACTTGTAGGACGACTTAAGGAATCTCAAAAAACTAAATAACAGCACGGAATGCTTTTGGCTTTATATATTAAATATCATTTCACCCAGCTGTGCGTCTGTTAACGCGGATTTGCTGAAATGCCAAAAAGCATTTTCTCCGTTAGCGTCAAACCCCCTTGGTCGTAGCTCAACCTCAAGGAGAGTTCATATCAAATGGAAATGTCGCAGATTTCCGATGCATTTGGCTTACACCGCCATAAGACTTCCGGCAAAACTTCATCTGGTAAAAAAATAAATTCCAAGCAAGTTTAATATGATTTATTGGTTTGTTTGCCGGAAATTACAAGCGATTCAGCTCACTCTCTCATTCTACATCTGTCCCCAACTCGTAAAAAAGAACCCCAAGCATTGGATTCCATTCGAGGCTGAGACACTAAGCAAACAAAATTGGCATACTATAAGAGGACAATCGGTGTGCGAGTGTTTGAGCTCTTGAAAAGCAGCTGAAAAATTCAAAACACGAGAATGGAAAATTAGAAAACTTTATTTTTGGTCGAGGAAAACCCCATACGATGCGAGAGAGTGAACGAGAGAGAGACATTTTCTGCCGTCTACGTCTCGGGGGCTTTCTTGTGTGTTTGCAACCCTCGGGGAAATCCCAGCAGAGCAGACAGGAAACGGAAGCTTTTGTTGTGCTACCAAAAATGTGGAAAGGGAAATGGGGGCCAGGCCATAGACCAGTCGCCGTTTAACTCTCGTTTCAGGGTCTGCCAATCGCCCCCCACACTTCCCACTCTGTGTAGCCATGTGTTGACGACTTTCACTGACTATGAAATTTAAATGCGTAACGGAAATGTTTGCAGTGTTATTTTTTGGCTGAGGGGCGCGTTGACTAGCAGACAAATAAATTACTCTGGATTTTTATGGTCGTCCTTGCGCCTAGTTTGTGGTAGGCAACAGGGAACAGAACGAACGGGGCTGCAGGACACGGGCGACAGGACGACGACAACAATGGGGCAAGTTCATTTAAAGTTGCAATGCCATAAAACTTTCACTGCGACCAGGCAACAACATGGTCTGTGTACACCCTTACAATGGGACAAATAGAAAAATTGTTTAATATAAACTAGAGATACATTTTGAAAGCGCTTGATTCAGGGATTGTCGGAGAGGAGAGATAGAGAAGACAGAATCAGCTATATATATATATCTTGGCATCCGCCCATAATCCCACACGCTTTGGCAAGAGGCTTTACTATTCGGCCATAGCTAATATTCGACTCTTACTCTCGACTACATTGTGCGTTGTTTATAATGTCTGCGGTCTGTCGACCTAGACACTGAATCCGTGCTGTCCAGCCTGCTGCAAAAGTTTCAGCTGTGCCAAAGCAACCCCCAAAAATGTCAAGCGAACCATTAGCGAGGGGCATTGGCGTCTCGGGGACTCATCTAGTGGAAGGAGAAGCTACATCTAAAATTCAAAAGCATTTTTAGCGACGAGCGACAAGTCGAGCAGCTGGTGCACAGCGCTTTATAAAGTTGCCTCGTGCGCGACTTCCTGCAAACAGTTTACAAGTTTTCAGTAGCAGGCACTGATTTGACGTTCCACACTTGCCACCAGCCAGGCAACATGTTGCATATAATTAAAATAAAAATTGTAAGAAAGCAAGCTGTTGGATTCGTCCTCGAGACCAAACTTCAACAACAGCTGATGACATTTCCTCCCTGTAGCTGGATCCGGGAAGCTGCCATTTATAACTGCAAATTGCGCGCCAGACATTGCAACAATATGTGCTCCCAAATGTATTTATAACATTTGTAACGGTGCCAAGAAGGATCTTAGGGTCGAGAGGTTGGAGTAGTTTAATGGCTTCAAAATAACCCCCAATGCGACGGGCTACGGACGTGGGAGGTCACATAATTGACATGCGGCAGCTGAGGGCGTGAATTCCAATGCATACGTTCAAAGAGCTAAGCCGTAGCCAAGCCCAAGGACTGAGCTCCACTTCGGAGAAAGGGGGTCATGTGTGTTGCTTGGGGGTAACCTTCCGTCCCATAACAATGGGGATTGTAAGCTGCCAAGGGGTAGGCAAAGCGCCCACGTGCGTGCGCTCTGCCTAATTCGCATGCATTTATGCGTGACCAGGCACAGGACGCAAACCAAACCGAAATCAAACCTGGCAGCAGGCTGGCTGGGGTGGCCCATCAGGGAGCTAAGTGTTGCAGTTGTCCTGGCTACCAAAGGATCTCTCGCCCTTTCTTTCGACAGACCAAGCACACCACAAGCTGCCAGGTCGTTTTGGCAAAAAGCTGTGTCCTTGTACGCCCGCTTGTTGTCTGGCTTAACTTTTGTTGTCCTGCGGGCTTGTGTTTATTGATGCAGCATTCATCAAGTGTATCACGTGTTCGACTACAGGGTATACGTCTGTTCGAGCAACGTGTTGTCTGCCCGGAGCAAAGTCCATGTCGTGTATGCTGAATTTATAATTCCATTTGCGGTTTTAATTTCGTAAATGTGAGATTAATTTTATTCAATTTGGCGTGCGAGGGTGGAACGAAAAATAGAATGTTCGGATTGTTAGAACTCAGACTTGATGCCTGCTTCGGTCTCGCTTCATTGACTCCCAATTGTCAATGCTCTCGAAAACGAGCCAAAATTGGCAAAATGTGCCTGGGTGTGCGAACAGTAATTAGGACCGATTAACTATGTAGGACTGTCACTCTGCACGGCGTCTTATCGGATTACTATCACGATGAGCTCCTGACCAGCGTCTCGATTCATCCATTAGATCATTCACTAATAATTCATCTCGCGAATTCAGAGCCGACAGAAAAATATCCCGTGTCGCCCGAAAATTTCCGCAATTAAACAAATGTTCATTCTCCAATCGAAGAAAGTTCCAAATGAAACGTCGATTGATCTCACAAATACTGGACAACGTTTTGGAATTGTTGGGCAGCAGAAGATTATTGGCTATTAAATATACCTCGAGAGCCCAAAAGAAACGTATTGAGAGATCCGCAATGATGGCATAGTAGTAAAACCACTGAAATAAGTGCACAAGGACCAAGACAAAGACAAGCTTGAGCGCGCGAGCTGCCATAAAAGTTTATTCAAACGTACCTTGGGGTAAATAAGACGGTTTCGAAGGAATATTCTTTTGCCCTTCCAGATTTTAAACAATCCGTAGTCTTGCAGCAAGTCCCACGCCGTGCAGTAAATAGTGGATACAAGGGAGCTAACTATGTAGACCCAAGTCCAAGGGTTTGCGAAGATACTATTGTACTTGCCTAAAGGAGAAGATGAATTCATTAAGTTCGATGTATGTATATTGAGAGCATTGCTGAGCTACTTACAGCTTGTCTCCATTTGTATAGTTGAGATGACGACAACAATGATTGTAGAGGCATAGGCAAAAGCATTGACCAAATACGAAACTGGCTTAATTTTGCTATCGCAATAGCGTTTCACACATTGAGCCAGCCGAAACCAGGCGGGCAGGCATCGAAGAACGGCTATCACAACATCTGGCTCAAAATCAAACGTATTCTCTCTATCCATGGAGTAACGCATATAAAAACGAATCAAGTAATAATAATCCACGGTGCATTGCACCAAGGATCCCAGCTGATCGGCCAGCCAAAAGTCCGCAAAACTCACGTAACAAAACGGAGCAGCCAGAACGCGTCCGAAACACTTCAAAATGCCCATACGAGCCGGAAAATTCATAACATGCACAGGATTTAAGAGTATCACCAGCGGCAGGACCAGACCAATTAGCGGAAAATACAAAGGATCCTTCACTCCAAACTCTTTGTGATGTATAAATAGCAGCATGGCCAACACACAGGCGTAACCAAAGAAGCTGGCTGTGCTGAGCAGTTTAATGGACACAGTTTGATGGCGAGGATTCAAATCGAAGATAAGCACGTGATTAATGCCCACACTTTGCCACACATAGACGTTGCCGACCAAGCTGAAGCCGTAGAGCATCAAAGAGAATGAGCCGCGAAACATACGGGTAAAGATAAAAACTTGATTCGTGCTTACAAATAGGATATAGGCTGTAAAAGGGTTATTAAGACATTAATTAATATAAGTTGAGATATGTTAAAATGTGTATCAGTCGATATATCTGTAGTCAGTCGGCTAGGCAATACTTTGATAGAAATTTAATTAGTCCTTTGATCAATCTATCATGACGGAAGATAGACGATTGACATTAGTTAGTCGGCCAGGCAATACTTTGATAGAAATTAAATTAGTCCTTTGATCAATCTATCATGACGGAAGATAGGCGATTGACATTAGTCAGTCGGCTAGGCAATACTTTGATAGAAATTTAATTAGTCCTTTGATCAATCTATCATGACGGAAGATAGACGATTGACATTAGTTAATCAACTAGTCTCAGCTAGGCGCTTAGATGGGTCATTTATCAATCAGTCAATTACTCTTTCGATAAATCCGTCTTTCACAAAATAATGCTGGAAGTCAGATGGTATCAGATGGATCAGAACTCAGTAATGAAAATGTTTGTCCATCCGATAATTAATTAGTCGAAGCACTCAGATGGGTAGTTTAAGTAGATCGATACTTATCAGTCAGTCAATAAGCCTTACTGTCAATCTGTCATTCATAAAAAAGCTAATCTATCAGTCCATCAATTAGCTATCTATAGATACATTGCCGATAGCTAGATCTATTACCAGAAATAGCACAAACTACACTTGAGACAATAAAGAGACCCATAAATAATCCAGCTGTGAATACGTAATCCGTCGATATGGGCTGAGTCAAAGGTGGAACTCTCAGCTTTTCCATTGCCTTGGCACGGTCACCATCTGTTATATATTGAGTGAATATGTCCTCGACTTCGATAATCATGTCACGCAGCTCAACTACGTCCACATATAAGGACGTGCCATCCAAAGTTCTCTGAACCCACCGAAATCCGTTCGGGGACGGGAAATACTTATTACACTTGTCGCTCAGCTTCTGAAAGCATGTGTAGTTGAGCTGCTGATAATTTTTGAGTAACACCAGACTGAAGTAGAATTCGGCATAAGCTCGATCTAGTTTGCGCAGATTTCGCGGCTGATCGGCCAGCGGAGGCAACCCTCGTACGGCGCCCACAACCTGTCCGCTGGTTCGACTTTTCATATAGAGCAGCTTCACTTTTAATGTGGCATGCTTGCGCCTTGCCTCAGCCATTTTGTAATCGAAAAACTCATTCACTCGCATCAGCTCTGAGTTCAGTTTCGCAAAGTACTCGTCCTGAAAGTTCAAACAATATTCTTCATACACGCTTTTGTCCCTACGATTGGGCATATTTTCTACTGCGGTGCGTAATAGGGTCTTCATCTCCTGTTTGATAAAATTAAGTCTTCTAACTATCGGCATTATTTTTGTTTTTGCCGTACCGTACCAACCTCATAGTTAACATATTGCTGACGCCACTCGTTTGTTAAATGACTCTCAAAAGTTCTATCGAACTTCATTCTGATTTACTTGGAATTTCGTATATTCTCTGTTGAGTGCTTAGAGTAGCAGGATGCAGAAGCAAAGAAAAATGGCCGATGAATAAATATACTTGATGTCCAAACCAAGAGCGTATAGCTCAATTGTCTTTGACGTTACTAGGCAGAGCCCCAGTAATTATATTATTTATTTTTTTTAATTATATATGTGGCATTTTCAGTTGAGATGTGTTGACAAACAATGATGTAACGTATAAATCTAAGCAACTGCTTTATACGACACGGAAAAAAGATAAACAGACGAACAGATTTACAGAAAATATTTTTCTCACTTGGTTACACCTGCCTTAAGGTATATTAAAACGTAATTCTTTTTTTGTAGCTATATCTCTGATTTGTGCTTAGTTTAATGTTGAACAGAACATAGTTAATAGATAAATTAGTTTTGAATAAATCAAATTTGGATATCATAGCTGTAATTAGTAATATTCATTAAAAGCTTGATCGCTTGCTGGTCTGTACACCCTTGTCGTGGCTTCCTTCTTCCTCTGTGTCAGCTCTAAGGCCGATGGGATTTAGGTAAATGTCGCGGGTGGCGCGAAAGTAGCCGACATTGAACAAATGCTCGTTCTCCAGGCGCAAGAAGTTCCAGATGAAACGACGAGTTACCTCTAAGAAACTTTCAAGTGTTTTGCAATTGTAAGGCAATAAAATATTATAGTAAATTAAATATATCTCCGGGATAAAGATGAAACGTATCAGAACATTCGATATGATAGCAAAATAATAAAATCCCTACGAATATATAATACTTGGTTAAATTTGAGTGAAGCTGATACTTGAGGGCTTTACGTACCTTGCGATACACGAGATTCTGGCGCAGAAATATGTTTTCACCCTTCCAAACCTTAAATAGACCAAAATCAACAATTAGATCCCAAGCTGAGCAATAGATGGCTGATATGAGAGCCGAGGCTAGATACGGCCATATCCAGGGATTCGCGAATATGGTATCATATTTATCTAAAAATTATAAATGCAAAATGAAATCAACGAACAACGGACGGCTCCATCTCTAAACGCTTTGGAGAGTGTATTAAGTGTATACATACCATTCGAATTCATTGCAATTGTAGAAAAGATGACCACCACAATGGTACTGAAATATTTGCCGGCATTCAGGAAATATGAATACGGCCTATTACTGGAATTCCAATATCGCTTTAGGCACTGGGCTAAACGGAACCAGGGCGGCAGACAACGTAGAATGGGAACCATGAAGTCTGGCTCGAAGTCAAGGGCCTTGACATGGTCCGCGTAGTAGCGAACATAGAACCGGGCCAAATAATAGTTATCCACAATACACAGAGCCAAGGAGTTCAGCTGATCAGCTATCCAAAAGTCGGCAAACTGCACAAAGAAAAATGGAGCAGCAAAAATTCTCCCAAAGCAGCGCAAGATCCACATTCGCGCCTTTAAATGGAGTATGGGTATTGGAATGATCAGTAGCACCAGTGGCAGCACCATACAGATCAAGGGGAAATTATATGGATGGGATACGCCGAATTCATTGTGATGCAGAAACATGAGCATGGACAGAGTGCAGAGGTAACCAAAGCCGCTGGCCACCTCCAAAAACGTCGCTGGCAGCACTCGTTTGCGGACGTCCAGCTCGAAGATCAGCACATGATTAACGCCCACCTTCTGCCACACGTACACATTGATTGCCAAATAGAAGCAGCAGAGTACCCAGGTGAAGATACCCCGATACATGTAACCAAATGTTGCGAACAGCGCCAAATTACTGCGCACATAGATCACTACAGGAGATAGAGGAGAAGAAGAGTTACATACAGAAGTTGGGTTTCCTTAAACTTAGATTCCGAATTACATGAGAGGATAACAACAATGGCGCTGACAATGAATAGGCCCAGCAACATGCCGGCCATGAATACCCTCACTGGTGGCGAGGCCTGTCTCAGTGGTGGAACTCTCAGCTTGGCCATGGCTTTGGCGCGATCGCCGTTCGTGAGATGGGTCATATATAGATTCTCCACTTCATTAATCATTGTCAGCAGTTCTTCCTGCTTGCTGAAGGGCGCGTCGCTAATGTACTCTCTGAACCAATGGGCGCCTCTTTGAGACTTGATATGCTTGTCATACTTTTTGCATATTTTGCGAAAAGCCGTATAGTTTAGGCTCTGGAAGTTTTGTAGCATGATAAGGCTCAAGTAGAACTCGCTGCAGACGAAGCCCAAATGGCGTGTATTATACGAGCGTGGTGTCGAGGTCAGTTGGATTTTGATCTGGTCAAGTTTGCGACGTGCTTCGGCCAACTTCTGGGCAAAGAAATCCTCAACGCGACTCAGTTCTTGATGGCAAACGGCAAAGAAATTGCGCTCGAAATTTTGATAGTACTCCTCTGTAATCGGATCAACATTTAAATCATGCTCTCGTATATATCTATTAGACCTTCGGATATGTTTATCGGGCGCATTGTCCACCGCGGTGCGTATCATGGCATCAAGCTCCTATATACAGGTGGTAAATATATCAATTTAGATATGTTCATAGAGATATGGATGAAGATGTGGATCAGTTACCCCATAATCCATATACTGCTGACGCCATTCAAGTGTTAAATGGCTCTCAAAGGTTTTTCCGAACTTCATGATATCTTTCTACAATGAAATCAAAGAAAATTACAATTAGACTCCTTAAAACACAATTTTCATATATCTTCTTGCCGAGCACCTACTTTGATCAGATTAACTTGCTCAACCAATGACATGAGATATTGACAGCCTAACATTAATGCCAAATGGGCGTCAGCAGTGTGATGTAAATATGGCCGAAAAGTTAAGTGAAGCGGGAGGAATTACATTCCCATGGAAAGAGAATCCAAGTGAATGTAATTCCATAAATGTTCCTTCAAAAAGGTGAATTTATATTTTACTAGGACCTATTTCTTCACATCATAGAGATAAACTTAAATGTCTTCCTAAGTTTAATAGTAATAATTTTAATTTGACACTGAATGTCAACTTTTAGAGTGGAATTCGGTTGCTCTTTCAATTGTTTAATATAATACAACGATTTCCATCACAGCTTTAAAGGAATTTATTTTAAACATTTGTTTATTAGAATATAATAAGCAAAATGGAATTATTACTAGATTATACAGAATTTCTTCTTGTTATTTCTAGCTTTTAAAGGGATCTGAGGATATTTCTCTACAAATATTCTTTGAGCTTGACAGTCACAAATAAGAAATGAATATCTAGAATATGTAATATCTTGAATATGGAATAACCATTTAAGAATATATTATATATTTTGAATAAGTCTCCATAAATAGCTTTCAAAAGCAAACGCCATTGAATCAGTCCACTTAAACTTCGCCTCGTACATCCACAGCTTGCCGCACATGCATCTCATCCCACGCTTGTCAGCTGCCCGGGTCTCGATATTATTCTGGTCCAACAGGCTACGCAGTGTAGCGACATTTATTAACATGCCTCCTGCTCACAGCTTCCTTTATACACTGTTCAAAAGTTATGAGTTGCACCATGTCTGAGTTTTGTGAAATATTCCTCGACACTTTTTTGCCAAGAGCTCAATGGGCCAGAATAAATAATTTATATATTTTTCCAGATGAATCAGTTGGAACATCGCAATTATTTTTGACCAGCTGTAACAGAGTGTCTTACAGTCAGTATCATGATTTGTACCTATTTTTCCCGCTGGTGCTTGACATTTTCGCTTTTGTTTTTGTGGACAGTCGCTGCTTCCGGGTTTTGGTTTTTATCCTGGCTCGTCACGGGCTTTAATACAAATTTCGCATTCTGTTGAAGTGGATGTCGAGTTACATTTTTTTGTTCGCTGTCGTATAAAAAATTTGCAAAAGGGAGCTTTAAACTGCGTTGCGCAGCAACTAGGGGTTGCTTGGCTTGCCAGCCCCCAAAAACTCTTTAAGGAAAACCTTAGAATGCTCAATCAACGCGCCGAGCTTCGCCATTCGATTTCAGTTGCCAGCAGTTAGTCATATTTTTCTAGTGGCAAACAAAGAAAATGGCATTCGAGTGGTTAACAAGGGGGCGCAAATGTCGTCTACAGGCATGCCAGAGGGGGGTGGATTTCTACCTCATCATCAAAGCGAACATTCATCTCGACTAACGTGAAAAATGTGAAACAATTGCAACGATGATTACTTTTGCCCCAACCCATATTGTCGTTGTAGTTGCTGCTGGAAAAATGGTCGTAAAGGAAAATTGAATTGGCAAAAGTTTTCCCTGGCCCATGGGAACATTTGCTTTAGGCTAGAATGGAAGGGATGCAGAGAGACAGAGACAGATGGAGTCAGAGAGAAACAGAGAGATGTGTAAGGTGGGAGCCAGGTGAAGCAGTTTCATAATTATATGCTAAATACTCTAGTAATTAACTCCCCAGGGATGCGGTCTTCAAGAACTGTTAGATGTTGATTATTTTGTTGACTGCCCCCATAAAATTTAAGCCATTTACAGTGCGGGGGCAGCGGGCGACAAAATTGGCAACATGTGCACAATATGCACATAAAACTCCGAGTACATTTAATTTCCGCTTGGATAAAAACGTGCTGCTGTCAGCTATATTAGATCCGTAGATCCCAGGCGTGCTGGGCATGATTCTAAAGGGTATACCAAAAGTAAGTTAAATATGATGAGCATAGAGAATGCCGTCAATTGAAGGCAAAGAAGAGAGATTGAGTTTAAAATTAAATAGATTTAGAATAGAGTGAAAAACCATGTAAAAATTCTAAAAGAATTAAATATGAATATATAACTGTAGATATATAAATATAAATTTACTTCTAAGTTTTCAAATCAATTGATAAGGAACACACAAAAGTTACTCAGATTTATAGAATTTGTGTTTATTTAAGTAAGGGAAAACATTTCGGATTGCACCTCAATGAAACTCATAGAATTTATTATGATAAATATTTTGTATTTAAACGAGGCTAGTTTACAGGGTATTAGCTGAGCTGAGCATTAGCTAGATCTCAGTTCAAACTGGATGCTATTGTGTGCTTTACTAGCATAACGAAAGAAGCAAATAAAAATATTTGCATAGACAAACTGTTGGACAATTGGATAGACTAACGGCCAAGTGAACAGCCGGGTGTGGATTGCCAGCCAAAGTGGGCAGTGGGCAGTGGGCGTGGCAGATGGAGCTGCATAAAATGAAAAGTAAACATTGCAACATTCGCTGCCATTGAAATGATAAAGTGCGCCGGCTGCCAGTACGACAAAAGGCAATAAAATGCATGCTTAGTGCTGTCCGAGGGTGGCATGAAGGGGTTGGAGTTGCAGAGCAGTATGAGGTGGGTTTGCGGCGGCGTGTGCTTAATGGCATTAGTAGTTTGTGTAGTTGGTGGGCAATAGATGCGGTCCAGTACATGCAGGAGAGTTTCATGTGTGTCCGTCTAGCATTTGTTTTCGTTCTTTCTTTTTTTATGCGTCTGTGGCATGTGAATGGCTCGAGCTCGGAAGCCTTCCATGCTTTTTGGATTTGTATAAACAAAGATTTATTGGGTCTAGTTTCATTTTTTGGGGGTGCATGCTTTAAAAGTCTGTAAAAGTAATTTGCCGAGGGGCTATCGTGAAGCTTGACAAAAGTCTATCGTTTTTCATTAATATAATTGAATTTCGCATAATTTATTTTTTATTCAAGTGCTATTTATTTTTATTTATGATTATAGTAGAATAGACTTCAATTTGTTGAACTTAAGCCAGAGTTCTGCAAATGTTATTCATTTTAAAATTCTTTTAGGTTGTTCCTTGGGCTTTGATTTAGTTAAGAAATTCATTTAAATGATATTGAAATTAATTTAAAACTTTCTTGGAACGGAATTGGTAGACAAAGCCAAACTGGAAATATCTATGTGAATTCTTGAAACTTTTATTACCCCCCATGCGCAGCTACTCGCCTTCAATTATAAAGCCTAGTTTATAAAGTGTAAGCCCACAACTAGTTTGTCTAATTCCAATTGCCTATCACGTAAATTGGACTCATATTTCGACAGGCGGCAATAAACTTCAAAAAAACAGCTCCATAAACTAGTTAATCGGCCAAGTGCAAAGAAATCGCCAGAGAGTGCGCTGGCGCGCTCTCCAAGCAAAGCGGCTTAAATCAAGTTGGAGCACGCAAATTTGGTGCGTCTCACTAGCAGATACCCTGCGATCTGCTCTGTATTGATATACTAGACTAAATGAAATAAAATAAAAACAATCAAACAAATCTAAAGAATTCTTTATGTTAATTTGTTTGTAGGTAGAGGGTTTAATTGACTTATCTGTTTCATATTAATCCATGATTTGAATATACCCTTTGTTTTTTCATTTTCAACTAGTCCAATAGCAAATGTTTAATAGCTTTTAGCGTTTGCAGGGTATCAAAAGATACAGCAAACTAAACGAGTTTTCAGACCAATCAACTGGAGTTATGCTCCATTAGAAACTTAAGTTGCAATGATTAAACAATTTTCCAGCTGTTTTTGTTGCTGCAGAGTCTCCGTGGCGACATTTCTTCATACACGTTAGAAGAAGCAGAAAAAGTGGCAAATAATTTGCGATAATTGCCACTGAGCAGCAAACTGTTGTTCAATTATAGCGATTTGTTTGGCCAATAACTTTTGGCTAACTTAATTGTGGCTGCTGTAGTTGTTATGGCTGCTGTTGTTGTTGCTGCTGTTGTTGTTGACCTCGCGACTGAGCATTGAACTTCAGCTGCAACAGATTGTTGGCAATTTGAAAGCAGGGAGGGGGTAGGGAGGTTCGTGCAACAACTATTTATAGCCGGCACAAATGACAACACAGACAAGTTGCAACCACCCCCATCCCAGCCATATGATAGCCAGCTGTGTGCATCGAACATGTTCGATCAGCCAAGCAGCCAACACGTTGCATTGTGCTGCTTCAGTTGGCAAACGCAACGCGTCGAGTGCGGAACGTATGAAAATCGCGCGCGTGCTTCGCGGCAATTTTTAAGTTATTTTGTTTGTTTTTAAAATAAAAGCGTGCTCAAAAGAGTTGTTGTTTACAAATGCGTCAAAAAGTCAAAGTGTGTGAAGAGCTTACAAATAAATATTAAATGAATAAATAAGTGAATAAAGCAAAATATATAAATAATTTATATAGATATTTATATAATTTATATAGATATTTATTCTGCTAAATAAAAATAATAAAAGAAAATTAACAAAAATAAAAAAGAAATCATTAAATTAATATATATATATATTTTAAATAAATTAATCTGAAACAATTAAAAAATATAATAACTAAAATATATTATTTATTTTAATAAAAAAATCCAACAAATAATATAAGTCATAAGGGATTATATTGACATAATATAGAAGCTACAATTGAAACCAAAACGGTTTAAATTGAAATGATATTAATAAATTATATATATATTGTTATCAAAAATGAAAACATCTTTTCAGTTGCCTGCCTATAAACTTTTTTTATTTGAAATAAAAAATAAATATTTTATAATTATAAAAAAATTTAAAACTAAATTAAATTCCAAAAAAAGCTTATTTGTATATAACAGACATATAACAAATGAAATATAACAATATAAAGGTCTTAAATTAAGTGTCTGCAAATGCTGCATATTTTATGGTATTGCAGCTGTGATACGTCTCTCTCCCTGTGTCTGTCTCTCTCTTTTCCCCACTTTATTTTCCAGCTCTTTCTGTCTTTA